ACACACACAGACACAGGGCACCGGTCGGGACGGATGGCATTGTTTCAGGGGAAAGGTACAGCGAATGCTACCCCCTTGCCTCCTAGGCCACTGTGGGAAGACGTTTGCCATCCTGGAAAGGTTTCTGAATCACAGCCATGTCAGGACCCCGTGGCTGGTCCTTGTGGACGACGACACCTTGATAAGGTAAGGGGCCTTCCCACCTTCACTCGGCTCTCATCGGCTCCACTTGTGTCCATCTTGGACGCCCTTATGGGCACTTGCACTTCTGGGAAGATGGGGTACCCAGGCCCGATTTACCTTCCCACATGCAGTAGCTCTGCCACCTCCCTGGCAGGACAAAGGCCTGCAAGACACCGGACCTGGATGGTTGGCAACAAGAGACAGTGGCCTCGGGCAGCTCCAGCGAGGGCTGCCCAGGCCTGCTGCAGGCAGCTGGCTCAGGAAGGGGAGTCCGGGGGCAGCTGGCAGACTGGTTCCAGTAGAGAAGCTGAAGCTGCCCCCAGGGCTCGGTTTTCAGCCCAACAGCAGACAGGCCTGTAAGGGGAACAGTCACACCTGGGAGGGGAGCACCTGGGAGCCCTCCACCATTGAGATCTGAAGGGCAGCACTGACCCAGGACAGCGCTCGCTCAGAGGGTCAGGAAGCGGGTGTAGGAAACACAGGGAGGCAGTGGGACGTGTGACAGTGCTTTGGAGGGATGGCAGGCAGTGATGTGGACCCAGCACCAGGACATTGTTGGGTCAGTTGATGAAACCAGAGCAGGGTGGCCGCATGGGTGCTGGCATGGCGTCAGGGTGGACATTCCTGGTGAAACTGGCCACTGTTTGTGGACACATTTCTGTGGACACACATAGCTCCTCTCTCCTTGGGCAGCACCTGAGAGTCCAGTGGCTGAGTCGGACAGTAGGCCTAGGGGTAGCTTTTCACGAGGTGCATATTGGCGTCATGCATGCTGAAGTTGCTAGCCCTTCTAAGGATTGGGCATCGAAGGATTGAGGCTTGAAGGGCATAATGCACAAACCCTGGTCCCTAAAACAAACAATCAGTAAACAAACCTCACACTGACTCATCGACCCTAACTGCCCCTGTGGGTTTCTGAGATGTCACTCTGTGTGAGTACAAAGCCCCGTCTTTCTCCCTCAGAGCTGCTGGTGGTTTTGAACTGCTGACCTTATGGTTAGCAGCCCACTACGCCACCAGGGACCCATTAAAGAAAAGACACACACAAGGAGTGTCCTAAAAGTTCTTAAAAACGTGGAATTAAAAGATAATGGAATTTTCCCACAAACTTTTAGAAGGTTGTGTGTGAGAGAGAGCGCGCGCGCGCGAGAGAGAGAGAGAGAGAGAGAGAGAGAGAGAGAGAGA